ATATAAAGAGTTAACCTAAATATATTTATGGTTTCATTCTTTTGACCTAAAAATAAAAAGAAAATCTGTTTTTTTTCTGTGACAGACTTGTGACAGCAATTGGCACATTTGATAATACTTTTTCTCCACTGAGATTTGCAGAACATTAGGGACACATCTCATTCATTGGGATGAACTGGAATATTGGGGTATATCTGTAGTTCCCATTTAAAAACTGCCTAACTAAATTTCAAAGTTTTAGTCATGGAGCTTCTAACTGGATAAAAGACTTTGAAACAGAACATTCTGAAATTTCTGCAAGAGCCCCCCACTACCAAAACCTTGCCAGGCAAACCCAGTAGAGTAGAGGTTATGCACGTTCCAGATTCCAGGGGTTTCTAAATTCTGGCACCTTTATTTTACATTGATTGTCCTGACAGCTTCATCTGAGAAGGAAATGGAATAAAATATTCATTTTAAGTAAGGTGATTCTGTTATTGATCTTAACTTTCTTACCTAGACACTTGTAATTGTTCCCATGGTAGTCTGGGATGGTTGAATAAGGTGCTTAGGCTTATATTGCTTTTTAAGTTATCAAGTAATTCTTAAAAGTGATTAAAAAGAGTAATTGCCTAACTTAGTAATTCTGTGTAAAATCTCTCAGACCATGACTAAGCTATTCATCATAATGTATGCTTGGAATTTACTGCATTCATACTTTAAATAACCTGTCATTGTTTATAATCTCAGTTTGCACACACCTATGTAAGAAACAAGATAATGTGCTAGGAGGGTATGGTTAGATAATATTCTGGATGCTATGGAAGCAGAATAATAGCAGAGAAATAAGGCTACAACATAATTTTTAATCTGTTTAACAGTAAATTCCGTTGAGATGTCAGATCAGGTCACAATTACAAATAAACTACAGAATTGGTGCATGGAAAATAAGGTAAGGAATAGGCTGAGATTAACTCTGAATTTTTTCCTTTGTCATTTTAATTATAATTTGAGTAAAGGTCGGTGGTTTTTTGGTTAATAAAAACTTAATACTTTCCTACAGAATTTAGTTGTATTAATTCTGATGTGCACAGCATGTAAATTTAAGATCTGTCTTCTCTCAGTGGCAATTGAAGTGTTGACCAGCATTCATGAGAAATGCTGACCAAGAAGTCCAGTTGCCAAATGGCATCTTTTCACTGATGTAGCAAATAATTTCTCTGTTCAAGCACTCATGTTACCTTCTGATCTTGAAGTTCAGCTACTAATTTTCTTTTTCTTATTCTTGAGTTTAGCTCAGCAGAATTTATTCTCTCTTGAACAAAATGACTCCCAGTTTAACTGTACTGTCTAGGAAAGATTCAGCAGAACATTTTATACTTTCTTTTCAAAAGTACCTCAGGCTTTTTAATTATCAAAGTCACAGTTTTATGATCCAAAGTCACAGGAAAAGGACAAGCAAGGAATAGGTCTGAGAAATTATTAACATCAGCTTCATCCAAATATAATAGCGTTTTAATATACATTTTAAGTCTTTTCAAATTTTAACGAAGAATAAAATGAAAATAAAGTTACTACATTACTCCTTCAGAAAACTGGAGTAATGCAGTAATTAAAACTGAATTTATTCAATTACCTTTAACTATCCAGGAAAAGTACCCAAACCCAAAAGAGAAGGACCCATTTTATTTCCAGCACATCAGATGACAGTGGAGAACTGTCCTCATGATCTGAAACCCAAGAAATAGTTCACCTTCCAGCTCCTCCTTAAGGAGGCAGGGAAAGACCAGAACCATGCATGACAGAGGAGCACAAATTATTTTTTGGGACAGGATGAACCCTGCAGAGCCTGATACCCATCAGATCCCAGTTACCTCAAAGAGTTGATGGCTCTGAAACACATTTCTTTCTACCTGTTGTGGTTTGAGCCCTCCAAAAATGCAGGGACTTGGCACCAAAAAAACTCTCCAGAATTTTTATTTAATTTATATCCATCTCAAAATCCTTACTGATAGAGTTGTTTGAATCTTGAAGCTTGATTATCCCTTGTATCAAAGGAATGGGAAGACATATGTACCCATATAAAATCAAGGGGCATCATCTGTCTTTTGTGCTGAATAGGTGCCATCTACCAGTATCAGATGCAGAAGAGCCATAAATCCAGTTCTGGCTCATTCAAACAGTGTTTCCAGCCACATTTTGTTTGAAATTCCAGGTCCTTCTCTTAGTCCTAAACACTCCCTTGATCTTTGTCCAAGCCACTGAAGATCTGAGAGGGTCAGTATCCTCTTTGGCTTCAGCTGGAATCATTTGTTCTTAGGCAGTTTTTCCTTACCAGTTCCAAAACCTGCTACGCTGGATTATTTTTGCAATTGGCAATTTGGCAACTTCTCTTATCTAAAGATGCCACAGATGCTGCAAACTCATTTCATCAAAATTGAAGATTCATTTTCTTTGTGCTTTGAACTGCTAATGTGCCATTTCAGTCCTTTGCACATTGTCCTATGAGTATATCACCAGATGATAACAAACACCAATATCAGTTCAGGCTGTATATTCTTTTATTTCTTGCTTTAAAACTTGGGCAGAGAGCAGACAGCTATTTTTTTTTTTTTTCCTAATTGAAATCTTTATACTCTCCATGATCTTCTAAAGGAAGCATTTAAAATCTATTTTGTAATAGTTAAACTCTTCATGGTTTAAAACAGCAACGTACAGGTTTTAAATCTTGTGACAAGTAATCTCCAAAGTATTTGCTACCTGGTTTTAAGAATTATTCACTGGAACCAGGTGGAGCTGTGGAAGTCTCAGAAGCTCAATAAAGCCCTCGGTGATGCTGCTACAGAAATTGTTTTGGAGATTTGGCCATCACTATTCACCTTCACTGTGAACCAACTGGTTAATGCGAGAAAAAAAATCTGCCTAAAGTACTGTGGCTTCCCTTGTCACTGCATCTTTGTTTCATAATCAGGGCTTGATCCTGTGAACAATTTAGAATGTCTATATTGATTAAACCTTAGGAGTCTTCACTTTAAATTCTATCTGGTATTCTGCAGACTATAATGAACATTACCGAATGCATGGTGTCCTGTGGGAAACACCTTGAGATTATCAAGTTTAATTTCCCCCAGGAAGTTCTTACAGCAGTGCAATCAAGCTAACTTTTACTCTCTGTAATGGAAGAAGATTTAATCTACAATTTTTCAACCACCAACATCTCCTAATTTTCCTCTTTTAAAAAAGGAGGCTCGCTCTGGTTTTAGGTTCCTGCTAGACTTTTTCCCATAGTGCAGCTCATGAATATTCCATCCCTTTTTATTATGCTGAGTATGTACAAGCAGCTTAAAGCCTATGGTTAGTAAGGAATTTCTGTCAATATTGCAATTAAATCTTGTCTGTAATAATAGGTGACCTTTAATCTAGTATATATTGAGTCCCCTAATCTCCCAGATTGTAATTGAGTGATGGAGATGCAAAGCTTTATGAAAGAAAGGCAGATCATAAGAAAATAATTATTTTTTTGTGTAAACTATGATTTTCCAATTACTACTCTCAGCTGGGACAGAAAAATATCTAATGGTATGTTCTGATCCAAAATTAATCCTTTTGTAACTGTGCCTTTTTTGATTAAAGACTAATTTTTCTTTCTTCCAGGTAAAATCCTCAACCCCTGTGGTAATTTTAATGTCAATTTTTTTTCTTCCCGACGATATTATTAAAGTATAAGCATATTGATAAACACAGGTTTAAACAATATAGAGAGGTATCCAGATAAATAATCATTGGAATTATCTTATTATCTATAAATTTTATTTTGATGGCAAAGTGTATCTGGTCCATGCAAAAAAAAAAAAAAAAAAAAAAAAAAAAAACCCACAACTAAATCCCTGAATAGCATGCAAGATTTCTTTTTCCAATTTATGAAATAAATATGCAATTTTTATAATTAATATTTTTAAGATATGTAAAAATGGTTGTAGGTGCTGAATACAGAAGGAGTTTTGGGGACATGGTATGTGAACAATAAAACAGGGATAAGATTTGAGTGGCCAGAAATTCTGGGCAAATGTTGATGGAAGCATTTACTTCACAGAAGAGAAATTTTTAAAGCTTGACTACGGTTACTGTGCATGTGCCAACAGAACCATGCAAGAAAACTGTCACTGTGACCTTGCTTGTAAAGTAGTTTGACATGTAATGATAAAAGAGGCAGTGTAAGAATGAGGTGTTTAGATTTACTTAAACTACTGTTTTCTTCTGCTGATGTTTTTGTTTCCAATTCCTGCATTTGCTTATATTTCCCGACACTGGTAATAGTAGGAAAACCTATTCCCCAGTTATCTTCTTTGTAGAAATACATAATTTTCAGCTGCTAATGTACAGCAAAATTGGTGAGGGCTATTACTGGATATTTTATCCTTCCAATATCTGCTGTTTGACAGGGGGAAACAGTCAGGTTTGCATTGGCTGCTCCGTGTGAAACTCTCCCCAGGGGACAGTCCATCAGTGCTTTTGTCACTCCTCCTACTGCAGTGGCCTGGGGATCCCCTTGAGAGAAAATGAGACAAATAAAGACAAACCAGGGTAAACAATGGGTCCAGTTTCTCAACTAGTTCATACCTTTGCTCTGCGAGTTAATTCTCTTCCTCGTGCTGCACCAGCATTGCATTGATATTTTAAAGCTGTAAATACATGAACTTCCTGGTCAGGGCATTGCTGAGCATGTCATAGAGCACTGCTCCTTTGTGCAGGATGAACAAAGACTGGGCTAAGAACAAAGCAAATATAAATTAATATAAAGAAAATCTATACATTACAAGACTACATTTAAAAAACATAAATTTATACCTCAATAAATTTGACTAACTTGTGCTGTACTACTGTGGAACCTTAAATCAAAAAAATACAGATTGAATCTCTTTTTTTTTAATCCTTGAATCAGAATTTTGTTTATGTTGATATGGTCTCATTAACATAAAGATTTTAATGATTTTTGTTATTTTCTTTTTAAATTTCCAGCTCAGAAAATGCCAAACCACCCTCTCTATTTCCTTTAAATCTACTCTGGTTAAGAAACTATAATGAAGACATGAACCACTTTTGTAAGGAGCAAATGAGATCAACTCACTTCATACTCTTAAAATTATAAGAAAATCCTTTTTAAGGCTGAAGTATTCAGGTACTTCTCAATCTCTTTGGTATGGGCTATGTCAAGAGAGGGTCCCACAGGAATCTGAAAGAAATCTGTGCAGTCCCCACCCAGGAATGAAAGAAGACTGATAAATATCCTCTGAAGGATAAATTAGAAGTTTTTCAAGAGAACCAAGGGAGACAAAGGCACAAAAGCAAAAGGGGAAAAGATTTTAACTAAATGGCGTATCACTAACTGTGGAAGGGGGCTGAAAGGTGAACAGGGAGGAGAAAGGAACATTCCTTCTGTATTTCTACTTCAAAGAGACCATTAGAGACTTAGATTGGTTCTGGTGGAGTGAGAGGGATGGGTCACTGGTTAGAGAGAGAGATCTGAAGATGGATTGTAAATAAAAAGCTTTAATCAGTGTGGAGACAAGAAAACACAGATAGAGCAAAGGAGATATTGTTTTACAGATGAGTGAAGTTCTGGGTTTTTTCATGGCAAATGGGAAAGAGCTACAAAGGGACCAGAAAGGCTCCTTTGCTGAGTTTCTCCATATTGATACCCACAGGCAGAAATGGAAGCAAAATAACACAGAGACAGAGAAGATAATCAAAAGCAGTGGAAAGGTTGCTGGGTTACAAACAGGAGATTAAAAATGAGGGTTAAGAGTTGTTAATGCCCACTTAGAGAAGTGGGAGATGTGACAAAGGGTGACTCTGCTCCTGTAGCTGTAGGACAGCACCACTGTGGGTTGTCACGGGTAGTCTTTGGCAGTGTGGGACAACATGTCGGCACGACCTGAACGACACCAGGGCAGCTCCAAAACCAGGAGGAGAATGGAGACTTACCTGGAGGAGAGGGCAATTCAACACACAGATCACCCCTGCTCTTTGAGTGGTTAAGACTTTTTTTTCTCAATCTGTACAGGAAATCTCCCTTATAGAAAAGTTGCTGCCTCTGTGTGAGTGGAGTCCAGAAGATTTCAGGTATTTATTTGCTCTCTTTAAGTAACTTTTTGCTAAGAAACATTTGTTTCCTTATTCTCCGATCCTTGAAGCTGTTTGCTAAAAATAAAAGGGCTTGATGGTGAATTCAAGTTTCATAAATGCCAAGGTAATTTTGCAGGATGAATTTAAAATGCGTCCTGAACTAAAATAATTGATATTTTGTAGGTTGTTCATGTTGTTTATGTAGGTCCCTAATCACTTGAGGTATGTTTAAGCTCTTTAACTGATAGATAATGCTTTCAAATTAGTAAATTAATCCCCTTGGTACACAGCAACATACCTGGGGTCACAGTACACACAGTTATTTTTTGTTGCTATCTACAGATTGTCTTGACATGCAGCATATGCCCACAGGGTCAGAAGAATTGCCCTTTGATTACATGTACAATAATCTGGATCTCCCAAGGTATTCAAGTGGTTAATTAAATATCAAGTAATTGCTAAAACTACTAAATGACATTTAATTAGTATGTTAATTGATATCAAATTTGCTCTCACTATCTTGTTTTATGTTAATAAAATCCCTAAACATTTCTTCGAAGTAGATTAGGAAACAATGTTCTTCAAATGTACTAATGCAAAACAGCCTTAAGCATCACTTCTGCTTCTGGAATGTAACTTCTGACTTAAATTTTTATCCCAGCTGTTTTACTTTCTCTATCTTTAAACTTACTTTGTGCTAAGGGTATCTTATATAGTACAGTGTAGACCTCTCTTGGAATGGATTTTGACTTTTCTAAGCCTGTAATCCCTTAGAAATCTATCAAAAGTGTGATAACTGAAAAAAATCTAAGGCTGCCTCTCTTCCCCTGGGCACCTAGAGAGCAGAGATAGGAAGGCATACAGGGAATGTGCAGTGCCTCCATTTGGCTGATGTGAGGGATGGATTTCTGCACTGCCTCCCTGGGTGGATTGTGGAAATCTGTGCCTCACACATAACACAGAATTGCCATCACAATAATATAGAAAAGAGATGCCTTTAGGCTTGGGTCCAGAAAAAGACTGACTGAACTCCAGAATGACAAGAGCCCCGAGCTTGTCCTTCCTTTCAACCACTAAAGTGTTCCCAGTGGCCACATCAGGAACAGGTGAATAGACCAAAGACTAAGAGAAAAAGTTGTTTTGCTACTGTTTAATTTGAGAACACACTGCAAAACCCTCCCCCCCAAAAAAAAAAAAAAACAAAACCAAAAAAACCCCAAACAAACCTATGAATATTCATGTGAATTTTAAAATTAATTCCTTTCAGCTGTGCTCATGCCTTTTGTGTGTCATCTTTCTGTGGAGCTTCTTCTGCATTTTACTGGTGCCAATGCACAGAGAGAGTTGGTTTTACATTCAGGATCACAAAAAAGCAAAGTCTAATTTATTCTCCATGAACATTCACACCCAATTACTTCAGAAGAGTCCAACTGGGGAATAGAAACAATGGTGTATGACCACGCACAGGGAAACTACACAGCTCTGATGCTAACCCTTCTCTGCTTCAAAATTTGGAATATATATGGAGGCAATAAAGGGAGCAGGTTGAGGAGGGACTGTCAGAGAACTTTGAATTACGAATAAAGAAAACCGTGACCTGATTATTCATGGGTATGTCACAGGGAAAAAAAAAAAGACGGAAAATTGGTGAAATAAATTATTCATTACAAAGTACTCAGCCCTATTTATATGTCACCCAAATACTACTGTAGAACTAAGAATGAAGCAGAATGATAGGCAAAGTACGACACAGATTTTCAACTATTTTTGGATTCATTGATTTGAACTTCTGTGGCTTCTTATGTATAACATTGATTTAGATTTCATAAATAGTTTGGATATATTTACTAACCCACATTCACTAACAGAAAGTTTTTTAGCAAGTGAAATATTTTAAATCTTCTACAGTACAAGATGGATTTATTGCTGTTATTTGTATTTGTCTCTAGCCCTTCTATCAGTTCAGAATGTCCTCTGCAAAGTTAACTCCAGTTGTACAACTTGTACACACTGAAGTAATGATACATACCACTGTAAACATGAATAAAACATGTGTACTGTAGCCTATTTAGGAGTTGTGTAGACTTAAATTCTTGAAAAAAATGCACAAAAAAAATTCAGAATTGACATATTTATCTATAAAAGTCTTCGAACGAACTTGTCACAGGACATAAAAGCATTGCTACCACTTTGAGTCCCCCTTGTCCATTAGCCCTGGCAGACAGTGTCAGCTCCAGAAGGATTTTAAAATACATTCCAACTCCCTGCTAGCAGATACAGCTGTTTGTGGTCACTACCAGCACAAATGCTCTCTGATCTCCCAACTGCTACACTTTCTCTGCTTTCCACCTCATCTTAATCAGTGTCTTACCTTTGCCTCAAGCCCTTGTGGCCCCCTCTCTCCCTGTACCTTCGAGGGTCAATAAGCTCCAGCCCTGACATCCCTCCCAGCTGTCTGTCCACCCCCACCCTTCCCAGGCACTGAGGAAGGTCATCCATCACAACGTGCCTCTCCTCTTTCATATGAAGCAGTTCCAAGTCATTGCCAAATCATTAGGTAAATCCAGGAGAAGCCACTGTGCTTCACACAAAAGCAGGCACTGCTAATCATCTGCTCGCCACAGAGCAGCAGCTCCAGCTCCTGCTGAGGGGCTGGAGAAGTTCCTTGGTGCCCAAACAGCTCCTTCCTGGGAGCCCCAGGAGCTCTGCAGGGCCAGAGCCCAAAGGCAGCCTGGCACGGCCAAGGCGAGGGACACAGGGCACTGGAACCTCCTTTAGACTGACACTGACACCAGCACAAAACCTGGTCGTGTTTGGGATGAGAGCCTGGGGAAAACCAGGTGATGGGGAGACCTTAGAGCCCCTTCCAGTGCCTGAAAGGGCTCCAGGAGAGCTGAGAGGGACTTTGGACAAGGGAGTGACAGGACAAGGGGGAATGGTCTTAAGGCGACAGCAGGCAGGTTTACTTTAGATATTGAGAAGAAATTCTTCCCTCTGAGGGTGAGGAGGCCCTGGCACAGGTTGCCCAGAGAAGCTGTGGCTGCCCCATCCCTAGAAGTATCCAAGGCCAGGTTGGATAGGGCTTGGAGCAACCTACCCTGCCTCTGACAGAGGGTTGGTAGTACTTCAATCCTCATTTCATTATTTTATCCTTTGAAGAATAACATAAGCTTGAGATTAATTTACTCATTTGCTTCTGGAATTTTTTTTTAATTCATTATTATTTTTTCCTCTAGAAAAGATTAATGTTTGATTAATAATTTTGTATTCCAAAGCCTTCTGATAAGGGCAGCGGTATGAGAAATGTCTCTCTTAGTTATGATTTCTGGTTGAGCATAATTTGAGGAATGTCTTCTAAGAAATTCTATAGTTGAAAACAGAATAGTGCTTTGGGCTATAAAATGTTAATGCTTTACAGCATTGCTGGTTTTTCGTTTTTGTTGCAAAATTAGAAGAGTGACCAGTGTTCACCAAGAGTTTGATTATTCCCTGCATGGCTAATATGATTTCAATTGTTTCAATTATATTTGTTCAGGCATGAAATGCTTTGTGGATCATTCAGCTAATTAAGAAGAGGTGTACTTTGCTTTAAGTCCTTCATTCAGCAATGTAAATCTGAGCCCACCAGTTAAAAACTGCCAATGTTAAATAAAAGTTGAAGCACCCACCTGTATAATGAAATTGGCCTTACAGCCCTGCCTGCAGCAACACAGTTGCAAGAGGTCATAGTTTTCATGTAATTAATAATATATTGTACTCATATAAAGTTTTCAGATATCTTAATAGTTTAGAAGATTTGATGCTTAACTTATAAATATATACAGTGAGTGTATATGGCTGTGTATTAATCCTTGTGAGTTCCTTCCAACTCAGAATATTCTGTGATGGTTTTGTATAATTTTCTAATCATTATTTTTTAATGTTCTCAGTGTTTAGAATGTACACATCTGGCAACTGCACAAGTTTTGTGTTTTCTCTGAGCTGCCTCTGAAACAGCTGGCTGGGGAACCCTGCTCTGCACCTTTGGGTATGTGCTCATCTTCTCCACAAATTCATTTGCTCTTTAATCTTATTTACATGATCTCCTGAAATATTGGAGCTAAATTTTCACCAAAGTGTCATCTTTGTATGGGATTTTTCAGATTAGCAAATTTGGGAAAAGATTAAAGCAATATTAGCAATAGAGAATGTGCCGAGTACTCTTAAAAAGGATAATACTGCCAGCCTGGCCAACAAAATCCCCAGTAGATACAAGCACTGCTTAAAATTGCTATAAAATACACTCCTGAAGGGTGGTCAGTCTGATTAGAAAGTTTGATGTGGTGTGAAACTATTCTAAATAGCTGCTTATACATTTTAATCGATTTTTTAGTATAGAATTCAAGGATCATTGCAGTGCTGCCTGTAACCTAGTTTTGGAAGAGTTTTTGTAATCTCTTTCTTTAATAAAATAAATCTAATGGGTTTTGTTTAAGATTCTTACTGTTTTCAGGACACAATTGAATATATGTTCCATCATGATGAATTTTCCACAAAAATATATTAGTGTGTTTTGTTGTTGGCCATAGGAAAAGCAATGTCTGTAGAAAATCTATTTTTTAAGATTAAAAGCAGGTGTTGAAATATCCAGATGAGATGGATTTTTCAAAGGAATTAATTCAAGTGTCCAGTTCCTAATGACTATATTCCTCAATTTCAGTTGCAAATTCTTACCTGAAACTCTGGTGAATAAAGTGAAGAGTCATAGGTACAGTGTCTAAATACATGGCAGAGGAAAATAAACTGTGGCTCTTGCCTGTGGGTCTGCTCTAAGCTTAGGGAGAGTTCAGGAGAGTTATTTTCATTGATTTAAGTGGGCTATGGGTTCCCTTCTAGATGTAGAACCCCCCCAAACTGATAAATAATTATTTGAAGTAATTTACCATCAAAATCCTTATGAAGCCAAATGTAAAGGACAATCCAACAGAATCATAATGTTTATGAACCACTCTCCTCCAGCATTTTAGTTACAGAAGGAGCAGATACCTGGTATTTTGGTACAGTAATTAGGATATTTCCCTGTACTTCTGAAAGTGTCTGCAGAGAAACCTGGTTCCTCCTGCTGATTTGTAGCTGTTTTAAGATAGAATTATCTGGTCTCTGGGGCTGATACTGTGGGTTGTTTCATGGGTATTAGAATCCCATTACAGAAAAAAACCCATAAAGCTTGGAGATGAGCTCTCCTGAGGTCCTCTCAAAACTACTGAGGAACCTCGAGCAAAGGGATGTTCTTTTGTATTGTTCTTTCACGTCTGAAAGCATTTCTGCTTTAATTCATTCTCTTTACTTCTGCTGTGCTGAGTATTATTATAGTCTAGTGAGTTCCTGAAAGTGGGAAATGCCAAACAAACAGGTGTCAGACTTCAAAAGAAGCATTTGTCAAGACTTAATGTTCTGAAGCTAAAGGTGACAGCTCAGCCTAAATAAGCTCTTCTCAACAGGATTTAAGTTTTGCTAATAAAAAAGTAATAGTAGAAAGTAAAGTGAAAATCCAACAGCTTAGAGAGTGAGAGGCTTGGAAAAATGTGCATCATCTGACATGATATCTTGATTTAAAGGCTGCTTGTAGTAGAGTGCTCAAAGTGCAAGGGTTCCACTGCTCTCAAATCTTTTCTCACATTACTGTTTCAAGTTTAATTTTGAAGGATGTATTTACCTGTAATTTCCAGGTAAGACCAGTAAGGAATTTCAGTTAATGTGGTATTAAGTATGACTTTTATTCCCTCTCAGAAGAGCTTTGTTGTCCAGCCTTGCACACACAGGTGGCTTAGAGCCAAAGTTCAACCAAACTGCACAGTCCCCATGCAGGTTGTAGCAAAGGCAGGAGCAGCAGCTGAACTGTGTGGGTTCAGGAGATGTCACTCCTATTCTCTTTTTCTGGTTGAAGCAGAGATTGTGGCAGCCATAATTCCATCTTCCAACAAGCTGAGTGCAAGGACAGAGCTTGCTTTTCACCAATATTAGTTGAGGCAGCATTTCATATCAGGTAGAGCTATCTTTTCTATCAGCTCCAGCAAACATTGCTTTGTTTGTTCAGGCATCCCCTAACTAAAAAGCACTGACTATGATGGAAACAGTCAAATGAAACGTGCTCTCAGTGTGTGTTTTCCCAATATATTCGGATTTATCTGTCAAACAAATGTCTGTTATGATTCCTTACGACCAGCAATTCAGGAATCAGATGTGCACGCCTGCTTCGGTCTGCAGCTTGTGTGGGGATCAGCATGACAACTGTCATAAGGAAAAGTAAAATCTGACCCTCACAGCATTGCTAAGCAATGTCTGATCTGCTCTGAAGGCATAGATGTAGGTACAGGTACATGAGAACACTCATATATATTAAAGAGATTATTTTTGGGCTTCTATGATGCATATGATTGGCCTTTGGGCTGGAACAGATGCACCAAGAGTCTGTATGTGTATCAATGCTGCATTAATGAGCCTTTAAACTCAGGCTTTGGAGACATGGAAATAAGAAGCTACAGATTATTATCATTATAATGAAGGGAGGAAAAGCAAAAATAGCTGTGTGCCAAAAGAATTCATGTGCTGGAACGTTTGCTTTTCCAGAACAGCACTGTTCCATCTTCTGTCCTTCCGGTATTTGTCTATGACTGATGGTGGGACTCAAAAGTCCTCCTTCAGTTCTGGTGGAAAAGTCCCAGACACAATAAAAATAGCTGAATTTTACTGATCTTCACCCTTGAATGGCTCCTGTCCACTTCTTTTCTCATGTTTGCATTCTGTACATGAATGAAATGCCTTAGCAGAGGCAAGAGGTTTCTATGAGGATGAGCAAAGGATTCATTTTTCTGCACGTTTTGTTCCTGCCTTCTCACATTCTCTCTGTATTAAACACATCTTCAGAAAATTTTGCTCATATTAGAACAACTTTTGTCTCTCAGAGCAACAAGACCTGTATTTAATTTGTCAGTGAAACAGCTAAAAAATAGACTATTCAACTATTCAGGTTTTATTTCTTTCTTGCTCATCTTTGTGTTGTTGAAAACGTGAGATTGTAAAACTGTCTTATTTCAGACATAAGCTCTGCATTAGCCAAAGGGAGACAGAGACTTTGAAAAGTAAGTAAAAATAGCAAATTAACCACCTGAAAAGTAGAATGGGGCAAACATCTAAAGGAAGGAGAAAGATCAAAGCTTGGAATAGAGACTAGAGAAATTCAAGCAGCTCCCTTTGAATGGAGCCCAAAGGATGATACAACCTAGAGTACCCTAACCTAAGTCCTTGTTGCCAACACTTCCCAAAAAAATTAGCAGTAACTGGAATCTGATTGGTAGGGCAAGATTTTGTTTGCTGGCAGCTTGTGATACATGGAATAAATTGTATTTTTGACCCCCATCTTTTGATTTTACAACTTCTTTTCAGCTTTTGCACCAAAACAATCAGTAGGCTTTGTTAATCTTCCTAGGTTTTATTGTTTGCTTCTGTAATTATTCATTAATACACTGGGGTTTCTAAAATTATTGCAAGAAACCCAATATTTATATACATTATCACCTTGGTATATGTGTGTATCTGTTTATCTTCTGCCTTTCATGTTTCAAGGACCTGTAAGTGGGATTGAAATCTGACTTCTGGTCCTGCTCAGTGTACACAGAGCTTGGAATGCTATCAGGAAACTCCAAAGGAAAGGTTAGCAATTATGTACAACTGGTGATTTTTAGAGGTCTAATGATATAAAATGTGAATGTCTTCTCGTAAGGAAAAATTCAAGAATCTCTTTCATTGCATTGAGATTCATCCCATCAACTTTCCAGTTCTGTTTCAAATCAAGGGCCAAGGGAAAACCTTCCATATGTCCTGAAAGAAGTAATATAATCAGCTCAGTGGTATTATTTCTTTCTTCGTTGCTGGAATCAGATCAACTCAGACTTTTCCAAAAACATGGGAGAGATTTGTGAAAGATAATTCCAGCTGCAATAATTAAAATTTAACCATTACAAGGAATCCAAAACAAGCTACACTAGTGACTGTGCATCCCCAACCATAGCAGTCTGTGGGGTCCATTTGTAACACTTGACAAAATCAATACATTTAAAGAGAAGGAAAGCAGAAGTTATAAATGTAGAATTCCAGTGAAATAGTTCCATGCATAATTGCTGCCCTATAAATGAACAATAGCAGCTCATATTCTACCTTTTTTAATACAAGTCAGTGTCAGAAGTTGTGTTCTCTGGGCTTGCAAAGATGGAAATTGGATCTAAATTATGAATGTTTTCTACTGACCTATATGGTGAATGATAAAGAATTGTAGAAGTCTCATGCAACTGTCTGCTCTGCATATATATTTAAAGAGAACTGTATGAATATTCAAAAATTATTGTTTCTCCCATTTCAAAGAATAAAAGAAATAGAGCTGTTCTGCTGTGTCTACGTAAAGCATTTCTCCCAAGGTCAGAGGGAGAGGTCAGAGCCAAAATAAGTCACTCCTGAGAGTGATTTGCCACGTGTTTTGAAAGGTCAGAGTCTATGTGGGACAAATTTAATAAACAGATCCCCAAAGTATTCTGTTCAATTTCCAAGGAAACATTCCAGAATGCGAGAATTGGCATTTTGTTACACTGAAATGCCAATTGTTTTGTGATGTTTTGTCTTATAATTCTGAAGGTGGCTCAGCTCCTGCTAAACCAATGATTGTTATGTGCCTTCTCAAAAAAAAAACCAAAAACCACGTTATCTAAAATGTCTGAAAACTGATATTAAGAATTGTTAAAGTGGTGGTTTGGATCTGCTTTCTGGTTTTCTCTAACGAGCTTGACAAAAGAGGGAATGGTACCAGTAAGGAACATCACATTATTAACCACCTGCTGCACAATCAACAGCTCAAAGTACTCTGTACCTTTTGAGAAACATTGGATGGACATGCAGAGAATGGCCTGATGAAAGCTGAGAATGTCAGGTCCTTCCTGGGTCATTTTGCTTTCAAAGTAAGAATCTTAAA